CCGCCCACAGTCCCGTCCGCCCACAGTACCGTCCGCCCATATACCGTCCGCCCACAGTCCTGTCCGCCCACAGTCCTATCCTCTGTGTGTCCAGTTTCCTCTTCAGACACGCTTGATGGTGTGATGGACAGAAGACCGGAGAATGGATCTCTGAACCTCCAGCAGCAGGAGGCCAGTCAGTCCAGGAGTGTGCCAGGTGAGTCCTTCCAGCGTCATATTACCCTTTATTGTCTCTTGTCCCGGACGTCAGCCTGGCAGTGCCGCCGCTCTCTTGTCTCTCTTTCAGCAGGAGGCGGAGTCTCGGACACTCCGGATATCCCCGCTGCCAGTCTCTCGGTGTCCGGTGCCTTACCAGTTGCCACACAACAGGCCAGGCATGAGTCTTGTCCTCCGTCCGCAGGAAGCAGATTCTACACTTCCTCCACCTCGGGTCACTCCACCAGTGCCGGCACCTCGGTGCAGCCCGTACCCCGTTCCCAAACCTCTACCCTGGGAGCCTTCACCTCCTTCCAGAGCGCTGCCCAAATCTACAGCCAGAGACTGAGCCGGCCGAGCTCTTCCCGACCAGGTACGTACCCCTCCTGTGTGCCGGAATCTCAGTCCAGAGAGAAATGCCGATAGCAACCAATCAGATGCTTTGTCTTCCAGCCTGTCTGTAAAAGAGCATAGAAGCCGGAGTGTGATTGGTTGGTTCACAGATGCAGCTCAGCGTGATGACTCCGGATACATCTGCCTATCATTGTCCTTCCAGGACACCGTCTTATAGGCAGCACGTCACCTCTCACGTGTCCCCTCTCCCTTCCTCCTAGGTGCAGCCAGCACCCAGGCCAGTGCTTTACGGACACGCTGCAACTCCGCAGGGGCGGGGAAAGGGCCGGAAGATCCCTATAATGTGGGAGCGGTGACGGCATCATTGCAGCGGCTGGCAGAGAAACAAGCATGCCGAAACAACCTGACGCAACTCAGACAGTTCACCCGACAGGTAACCATCATCCCTGAGCGCGGGGGGCGGTCCCGGCGAACGATCCGCGGGGACTTCCCGGAATAATTCCGTTTCGTTTTCTCCATTTTGCTCTCATTGATATAAACGTCTCTCCCCCAGCTGACCAACCTGAACACCTCCAGCAGAGTCCTTCCCGGAGGCGGGATTCGTCTAGGCTCTGGATCCCGCCCCCTCACAGGCACCGCAATCCACACCACATCTGAACAACCCAACCCTGGAGCCAGGTGAGTACCTTCCCCGCTATACTACAAGAGACCCAACCCCCAAATCACACCCCAATCGTAGAGACCCAACCCCCCAGATCACACCCCAATCCTAGAGAC